TGTGATAAATGTCAAAATTTAGCAATTTCAAGATAAGATTATAATTATAGATCAAGTGATTTAATTGTTGTAGATTTACACCTGATACAAAAACACACATAAGCCGAAGCAAATAAACTAGCTTATATTAAACTACTAAACAATATTAGTTTATAAAAAAAATTCCAATTATAACATACTAAACTAAATAAATTAAACTAATCTAAGAAGAATTAAAATTTAATAAAAAAATAAATTTAACAAATTTTATTTAACTACTCAATATAAATAAATTACAAATTTTTGCGACCTTATACAAATTATGCCCATTATTATCATAACGATTGGCATTTTGTGGCTCCGTAATTTATTTTTTAACATTTTATACTTTCAATTGAATAAAAAAATTGCATAAAATTATACGTTTATATAGTAATTAAGCATGGTCTGGTGCTTATTAGTAGCGGGTCGTGCTACTTCAAAAGTTGCAACTTTAAAATACGACTTCAAAGTACAACTTATATATTAGACTTAAGTCACCTATATTTGATGGAACCTTTACATAAATTATAATTCATTTAACCTTAATAATATTTATATATTAAATACAATCAAGATAATTTTTGAAAACTAAGATATTTTTTTTTATTTTAAAAAAACACTCCCCCTCTTCCACCCAATTTAGGAAGAACTCTATTTAAGATGCCTCCGGCTAATAATAGCTTCCCTTTCTCTTTTATCCATTAACAAAAAATCCCCTCTTCCCTTTCATTTACTGTCTTTCGTTGCTCATTCCCTTCTCTTATTCAAACAAGGACTAAATACAAATGTTAAATAAATAATTTTTTTTTTCACATTTTTAACATCTCTTTTATATTTTTTTTATATATTTCTTTTTTCTATTAGAGCACCTATGGTGTCATTTACCTATCCCTTTTTTTATTTCGTTTGTGTCTCTCTTATCCACCCCTGACTGACACTCATGGTGTGGTTGTAAGAAAATCATTTTTCTTAAATATAATGGAAATACGAAAACTTATAAAAGAAAATGTTAATAATGGAGTCTTGATCATGCTCACATTTTACCTACAAAATAGGGATAATAACAAAGATGATGAAAGCAACTAATTTTAGAGAAGAAATCATCTCTCAAAATCTTCACTGCCCTGATCGATCAATCTTATATTAGAAACATCATAAAGACTCATTAGTACTACACCTAGCACACAATAAGGAATAATGATATAAATGTGGAACCAAGACAAAACTACCACCCCGCCCCCTTACCACCACAAAAAGAAAATAATTTTCATTAACTGAAAAAGTAAATATCTTGCTCTATTGTAATGAGGTTTTAAAATTTACATTAGCAAATTCAATAGAAAATGGCTCAGGAATCCAGGTTGTGCTTTTAAAAATTAAAGAACTGTTTGATTTTAAAAACTATTTTCTATTTTTATTTTGTTTCCTACTTTTAAAGATTTGTACATAAAACACCATTTTTTTTTTACTGCTTCCTGTACCAATATTAAAAAACAAGAAACAAAATGAAAATATAATATCAGTTTTGTAATTAAAAATAAAAACAGAAAAATTTTTTCAGAAAACAAATAGGGCTTAAAGTTTCTCACATTTGGTTCCCGGCCTCAAAAATTGTTGAAGTGGAAAGGTATCATTGACCAGCCCTTCCAATTCATCTATAAATGATTTTATATTTAAGATCCTCCTCCTGTATGCAAGTGTCCTTAAACTTGAAGCCTACAGACCCATCCCCTGTTATTGTTAAATTTAACATTTTATTCATTGTGGAGCAACATATGTCACTCGGTCATAGAAATTGTTGTATCATGCATGAACAAAGATAAGTTATTGAGTAAAGACACTACTAATGTTTTATATCTAGCATAGTAGAATATGTTGGAACTTAAGTACTTTCAAACACGTGATATTTCAAAAGGAGCAACTCTTACGCTACCTAAGTGAAGATCCTTCAAAAAGTGCATCAGTTAACCTTTGCTTTAAACTTGTAAAGAGTTTATGAGAGAACTGGGCTTGCAAAAACAATTTTAGGAAAACACCCATATTTTGATGGATGATGTTAACATGTTCTTCTACTAATGCCTTTGTTGTTAATAATAATAAGGAGCTAATTATCGTTTTCTCCTGCAGTTTGGTGTTCTTGGGAACATATATACTCAAGATAAGCATGTTAAATCTTGGGAGATTTTCTCATTTACCAATTGCGGTAATATATTATTAGAGAAATGTCTTGTACACATTTTAAGCTTAATTTTCAATTACAAATTATCCAACACAATTATTGAATTTATAAGTTTCCATTAGAGATTACGGAGGAAGAGATGAGAACACTAACAAATTCCTAGAGCCACTGCAGGGTAACATTCCTATAAATTTTGTTTAGACACAAAAGATATACTTAACATATATATTTTCATAACTCTTAATTAGAAACTTATTATTTTGAATACTATACAATATTATTTACTAAACGAACAGGTGAAAGACCATGTTCTTTTTTTCAATGCAGAGAAATATGCTTAAGTAAGCTATAGTACATGCATTGAAAAAAAAAAAAGTATAGTACATGCAAGCTTGTTTGCAAGAACAATTATAGAGTTGCCACTTGCCCCAATATTTGGAGGAATAAATAGAGTTAGCCAAACGAGTTATTAGGATTTAGGCCAGTTCAGGGTCCGACCCCATTGCAGACAACGTGCTTTAATAGGTTGAGCAAAGATGTCCGAATCCAATTCAAATTCACAAAAATACTGTCAAAACCCAGCAAAGTTTAGTTTTTTTTTCTTTTTTTTGGCTTTTGTAGTGATTGGATCGAACTAAAAGGTTTTAATTTAAATTAAGTTCAAAATTTAAAACTTAAGTACATTTTTTTTAGTCTAGGGAAAGGGATAGGGTTGTGGTTTTTCCACATGTGATAGGATATGAACTCTAGTCGTTACATTTCATGTTTTTCTAACTTCATCAGTGAGGTGTTAATCAAAGGACACTGTCTTGTTGGGCAAGCTCATTTTGTCAGGTCTAAGAATACGGTATTGGTTTATTTTTCGTGGGCCATAAGTGGCTTTTTTTCCCGCATAGGGTTAATGTAGAAACAAATTCTGTTTATGGAACTTTTTTCTAACAAATACCGTGTGTAGGGTGGAGAATGACACGATGGAAGCAATGTCAGAAAATACATGGCCGACACAGATATTTTTTTTTTAAATTAATAGTGTCGTCAAACTTTTAACCGACACTTTAAAAAATATTAACGGATGGATTTTGATAATATTGATCAACGGCTGCAAACTATACACGTAGAGGTTCTCCAGTATATCAGACGGTTGATATCCGACTTGAGTGTCGGAACTGCTATTGACGACACCAGTATCAGATTGTTCAGGACCGACACACACCGATTGGTCCACATGGCAAGTTGCAGGAGGAACGCCGGTCGACCCTCCATCTTCTCCCTTTGTGCTTCTATTTCTGCTATTCATCTTCTTCGTTGTAAAGGTGAAAAAATTTTGTAAATTGAAAACGCAGAGGAGAAAGCAAGGTGAACGGATTGGACATTTTTAAAACTTTGAAAGGTAAGTATAAAAGATCGTGGCGTATATTAGATATAAATATAAAATATTAATTCTTGCATTCGTTTTTGGTCCTAGGAATATTACAATCGGCGGTGGTCTAGGCTGTTGCGAAAGAGACTGTCGGTGGTGGTCCAGACTCTTAGCTCAAAAGGTTAGTGAAAATTTACATTTGTAGTTATTTTATTGTAATTTTATGCATGTAAAAAATAGGAATATAGAAAAATAGGAAAATAGGAATATAGGAAAATAGAAAAATAATAAAATATTTAAATTAAAATATATAATTTTCTTGTTATTTATGTAGAAAACTGTATTTAAAAATAAAAATAATAATGATATTATTAATGTTATACAAATATTATTATGTTAAAATAATCAAATAATCAAATAAGAAAAAGATATAAATAAAAGAATCTGAAAATAATCAAATAAAAAATATAAAAGAATTAAATTGAATAAATATATGAGGAAGAATTATGTGTGATTATTATTATAAGGTTAATAAAATATAAAATTATAAATAACAAAATAAAATTGAAATAATAAGAATGAAATATATTAATTAATAAATTTATATTATAAGAATATGCAGTTGTTAAATTTGTAATAATATTTCAAAAAATATTATGTCACATAAATAAGAAATAGTAAATAATTTAAAATTGTGAAAGATTAAAATATAGTTATGCATCAAATAATTATAAATTAGATTAATTTAAAAAAAATTAGAGTAAAATATAAGGAATTAAGTGAAAAAAGATGAATATATAAGCAATGTAAGTTAAATAAAATTGAAAATTTTATTTTAAAATATAAATGACTGAAAATAAAAGTATTAGATAAATATTAATTTAGACATTTGAATATTTTAAAAAGTTTGTAGTTATTTATATGATTTTAATGAATAATAAGAAATTGCAATTTTATGCATGTAAAAAAAATGAAAATAGAGAAAGAGAAAAATAGGAAACTAATTAAATTAAAATTTATAATTTTCTTTTTATTTATGTAGAAAACTATATTTAAAAGTAAAAATGATGATGATATTATTATTGTTATACAAATATTATTATGTTAAAATAACAAAATAATATAATTAGAAAAATATATAAATATAAATGATTTGAGAAATATAAAGGAATTAAATTAGATAAATATATAAGGAAGAATTATGTATAATGATATTTTGAAAATATAAATTTTGTTGTAAGCTATTATTTAAACATATGCTGTAAATGTACTAATTGTATGTAAATTTAGTAAAAGAGTTTTTTTTGTTACTATTTAGTTTGATAGAGTCTATTTGAAGGTACAAATTGTTTAATACTAAAATGAAATTATTTTTATTAAATTTGGTTGCTTATATTGTAAATTTGAAGTTAATAGTTTACTTGTTTATATAGATTTTAGATGGCATCATCTTCGTCTCGCAGTAGGGTGTTAAATCCCGGCCCCCAGGATGGTTCATTACTGCGCTATCAGTCTATTCATGTTTCAGAGCATATTTGGGATAGTCATGAACACCCAATATTGAGAGTGAGAAGAGGTCATTTCATACATGCTGGCATGGAAAGAGTACCAGTAGAGATTATTCTTCATTTGACAGTAGCAGGATTTGCTGGAGTAGCACAGTTGGCTAGTATTCCTATTGACCACGAATTGATTACAGCATTGGTAGAAAGATGGAGGCCAGAGATCCATACGTTTCATATGCCCCCTGGAGAGTGTGCTATTACTCTTCAAGACATTGCTTTTCAGATGGGTCTTCGTATTGATGGAAGACCAGTTATTGGCCCTACAGGAGGTGACAAAACACAAATTGTTGAAGATTTATTGGGAATTATACTACCTAGTTCTGCATTTATGGGGAGCAGCTTGAAACTTACTTGGTTGGATGAGCATTTTTCCCATGTTGGGTTGCACAACCAAAATCCCATTCAGCTAACTCGCTTTGCTAGAGCATATATTTTGAGACTTATTGGTGGGTTTATGTTAGCTGATCATTCTAGTAGCAGGGTCCCAGTTAGGTACCTTCCTTTACTTGAGGATTTAGAGATAATTGGGCAATATAGTTGGGGAAGTGCAGCGTTAGCCTTCCTATACATAGAGTTATGCATGTCCACGAATATTGATCGGTCTGGTATTGGAGGATTGACTCCACTTGTGATGCTGTGGGCATGGGATAGGTTCCCATTTCTATCTCCGGGTGATCCCCCTTACACACGGAATGATCTTCCTTATGGTGCACGGTATGCCTATAATATTAAAACTTTCATTCAGTATTTACACAACAGTATTTTATTACAAACAGTCATGCTGATATTTATGTTTTTATAGGTGGTTAGGATTTCAAAATTTTAGGAAGGGGAGAAAGGATCTAGCATACTTTAGGTTCAAATTTGATCATTTGAAATGTGATGAGGTATGCGTTATTTGTTTATGATATATATTATCATCAATTAATAATTATGAATAATTACATTAATATTTTTTACACTTGCAGTTTGTGTGGCAACCATATAGTATAGATTTGATGCATACTTTGCCTGCCATATGCACTGAGGTCATGCATATTTGGAGAGCAATTGTGCCACTTATTTGTTTCCAAATATGTGAATGGCACCAGCCCGATCGTACCATGCGTCAATTTGAGATGGTACAACATATTCCTCATGCTCCTTATTAGCCAAACCAGTTACATGACATTACTCTTAGAGGGAAGACTGGTGACAATTGGGAGTCAAAGTTTAGGGGCGTACTAGAGCATTGGGACAGGAGATTAGATTGGGTAGTGAGTAATGAACCGCAGATTGGTCTACTGAGTTCGAACTCTGAATACATGCGGTGGTACCATACTCATACTGGACGGTGGATGAGCAGAGATGCTACAGTGTTTGCATTACTTGATCAAAGACTCTGAATCTATTATCCATTACATTACCTCTCACATAATCATTGGTCTCAATTTTATAAACTGACCCTGGAGCATATAACTGCATGTATTCTAACCATCTCGGTAATGTTGCATAAGATTCATCACAATCACCAAATATTGTCACAATTGCTTTTTGCTTTGCTTTCCATGCTTTTTTGTATGAAACTGAATACCCAAATTGGCCACTTATTCTCTCTTGGATTAATGAAACGGGAACAGAAGGTTCTTCTTTGACCATACCTGTCAATAAAATTAAACAATATCTCTCAGCTAATGATCATATCAAAATCATTTTAAATAGACAAATAAATATAATCTCAATTGAATTTCACGTACCAATAATGTATGAACAAATAAAATTTGAATCTAACTTTTTGTGGTCTTGAGAAATCATAGTATTAACACAAGTATGCATACCACCCCATCTCGTAATTTTCCACTTATTTGAATTTTTGGGTAGCAATGCTCTTACTTTCCCAGGACACCACGAAATATGATTCACACACTTGACAAAATGAGTTGATGCTTTTGACTCAACCACAAAAAATGTTTGATGTTTCTTCATTGCATAATATTTTATCGCCATCTTTACCTCCTTTTTAGAGTCAAATAGTTATTCAACATATAATGCATCTCCTTGTACCCATGATTGTGACGAATACAACTCAGAAAAATCCAATTCTTGATCAGGATGTTCCCAAATAATAGCAGTGTAATGTGAACTTATGTTCCAAAAAGGTGTTATAGAATCTGTATTAAACTCAACAAATATTAGTTAAAAATATTTAACAATTATTGTATTATATAAAATTGTACCTGTAGATTGTCCTTGCATAATGTTATTTCTTTCAGTGTTTGGAACTATCATCATTGAATCGAAGCCATCTTCCAAATCAGTATCAGAAGAACTATCTAAAGAAATTTCTCCTTCATCTTCATAGTCATCATCGTACTCATCTTCTTCATCTGTAGATGCAGCAACAAATATTTATTAATAAATTATAATATTTTAAACATCATATAATTTAAATAAATATTATACATTACCTCCTCCAATTGCATACTCTTCTTCATTGTCACTAACATTAACAGTTGGGAGTGATAAATTTAAATATAACGAAGTTTCACCAACCGCAATATCCACATATAACTCAACTACATTTCTTTGATGTCGTATTTGACAAACACTTATCATACACTTATCACACAAACATTCTAACCTGAAGTTTCTTCCAGCGGAACAGCTTGAAAATGTCACAATTGCTTCCGATACACCCTCGTCTGCCTCTATATATATGCATTTCAATTAGATGGATAAAAGCCTGTCTTTTGTTTTGTCCAATGGAAATAGGAGTGAACGAGAAATGTGTCAGCGTCAACAAAACCGACACACAGCTAGTGTCGGCATTCTTTCAGCCGACACACAAGTGTCGCAAAAATATAACTGACACGCATATGTCGGAACATAACCAGCTGATTTACAATTTGTATCGGCATATTAGTTGCCGAAACTTAACAGTGTGTCGGCAACTTTTTATACGACACTTACAAATCATCCTAGACCAAGAATTTCTTGTCAAATAAACCCATTTGAAGAAATAGTTTGTCATTTAACCCCATGCAGGCAAAAAACCCGCCATCCATAAGTTCTTATACTACGGAGTCAACTAGGCCATATAAGGAGACTGGACTTATGGACCAAAAAGCTGGAAATTTCATTTATGGACCAAACACTCAGGAAATTGGATTTATACGATGGGCCCATTAAGTAGATGGGCTATACGGCCCAAAATCTGAACCGTTTTGACAGGTACGCACCGTGCAATTCACAATTGTTGCTACCTTGTAGTTGTAGAAAATATTGAATAGTGTGCCAGTGAACTCGGCGAGAGCTAGAAATCGCGGTGTCGTAGTAACAATTCAGAAACCAATCCCTCTCTCCTCTACCACCGAGTCATGCTGAGTCAATTGAAAATGGTCTCGGTTTTTCACTTGGAAGTTCCAACTCTTTCACTCCCTCGTCTTGCCGTCACCACCCTCTGCCTACCTTCCCTCTCCGCTAATTTCCGGTGTTTCCACCGCTCCGCTCGAGTTCCTAGGCTCGCCGCCGGCTACAACGTCGCCGGTAATTATGTTCCGGTATGCCGTTATGAAATTTTAATCATTAGGAATAACACGAGTGATTGATTTGTTTCCCTAATCCAAATAATCAATGTTTGGATGCTATGTCAAAATGAAAACACCTTCTTCACCGTTGCGTTACTTCAATCGCTTAACTAACTAACCTCAACGTGTTCGTCTTATGAAATAAAAATAAAAATAAATGTTCAATTTAGTGATCGCAATTTGAGCGTTATATGCAGCCAACGAGTGGAGTTTATACCGTCGGTGACTTTATGACAAGGAAAGAGGATTTGCATGTGGTGAAGCCTACTACACCTGTGAATGAAGGTACTATAAATGCTCACATTTGTGTCATCGTGTCATGATAATTTTTTTTATAATTAATTTAAAATTCTTACGTGCTATCAAATTTGAAACAGCTTTGGAAACTCTTGTTGAACAGAGAATTACTGGTTTTCCTGTGATAGATGATGACTGGAACTTAGTGAGTCATTCTTAACCATTCTCATGGATTATTGTCTTAATGGTTGCTTACCTAATTGTATGCCTTGAAACAGAACAGAAACTGCGGTTAGAGGCTAATACAACTATCTAATAATGAATCAGAAGTTTGTTTTATCAATATATCTGGGTATATTGCCTTGTATAAATGTTGACTATTGTGTTTAATTAACATAATTAAGAGCAATCATATCTTAGAAAGATAATATTTGAATCAATTCGGCAATATAGAAGCTATATATCCTTTTAAGGTTGAATCTGTTAATTTGTGTTTTCTTTTTCCTTTCTTCACTTATATGGCCAACTTGAAGTGATTTTTTCAGGATCAATTGTTATGGAAAAGATGCTGAATGTTCTTTAATAATATGCAGGTTAGTGTTGTTTCAGATTACGACTTGTTAGCATTGGACTCCATATCAGGTAAATTGATTCAGAGAAACAATATATACTTTCTCAATTGTTGAAAATTTAAATTTCACTTTATTCAGAATTTAACAGTTTTCAGACTTTGGAGAACATGCACTGCAAATAAACATATGAATCTGTACTCTATGCATATTTATTTTTTCATATAATGAGATCCGGTAGCTTAACTTTTGGTTTGGTCCCCTGTGGCTTGACTTAAATGTGCATCTTTGACTTCAGGTCCTGCTCGAAATGATAACAGTTTGTTTCCAGAAGTTGACAAGACTTGGAAAGTACGTTGAGAAACCTTTTCCTCTTTAATTCATATCCTATAGTGAATTTTGACGTAGGTCTCCACACTGGGGAAGCAAGGTTTATGTTGTTAGTACTTAAATTACTAAAGAAGTTGAATTTTCTGAGCAGATATTTTCTATTTGGTCTTACTGTTAATGATTAACTGTGCATTTTGTACCTGCATACAGAACAATTTCAAATACAAAACATTGCGATTGCCGATTCTATCCCACTTACTCCATCTATAATAAATGACTAATGTAGTGTTTGGCCTACCTTATTTTGGGCTCTTCTCCGTAAAAGGAGAAGCTAGGCCAAGCAAAATTTTAAGAATATGAGCTTCTGAAAAACAGCTTTTTGAATGAAAAGAGCTTTTAAAAGGCTAATTTTAGGAGATTTTGGCTTCTACTTTGCCTTTTCTTTATTTTAAATTCCAAGATCCAAAAACTATTACTCAAGAAATTTTAACTTAAGCATAACTTTTAAGCTTAAAAAACAAAATAATTAACAAACCACTTTAACTTTAAATTTAAAACTTATTTTTTATTTTAACTTTAAAGTACCTTTTAAACTCTTAAAAAGTCAAACCATTTGTTTTAAAATGCATACATTTGGAATGAGACTCCCTAAAAAGAGGATTAATTAAATTCTTTCATGGTAAAAGGGAGAAATGTTTGTGTGTTAAGGGACCAGAAGGCAATATGTCTGTGCAGCCTGCATGCATGTGTGTGACTTTCTGTTATACCTTAATCTCTTTCTGGGTTGTTCATGAAGGTTAGAATATACATTCATTTTCTTTCTCTTCTTCCCCTCCCATTTGTCTTTTATATTTTTTCTGTCAATCCCACTTTGGGGATGGGGTTTGCATTCTCAACTGAGCTGATTTCAGCTTGTTGGCAGTAATTAGTACTGGAGTCCTACAGGTTAAGGACCAAAATGATACACTTTGTGTTGAGTAGACCATTCAAACATTCTTTTCATTTCATATATCATTTTCAATTGTTTAGAATAGTTTGCCCAGTGAAGCTATACAAAATAGCATTATGAGAGCTTTGATCCCGGGGAGAAGGGTAGGGATTGGGGTAGGGGAATAGGGGTGTGGTTTTTGCATGTAACAGGGTTTGAACCCTGCTTCTTACATTCAATGTCCCTCTAGCTTGCCACTAAGCTATCAAGAGAGGGACAGATCTTTGTTCCCTTAAATGGGTCTACATGGATCAACTTAGACTGGTAAGGCCTGAAGTGGCTTCCAAATACCAAAAATCCCAAATTAAAAAAAGGAAAATAGTCTATTCAATGTGTCTTGTTTATTAAAGATGAATTTCGTTAATACTTTCAAGTCTTGCAGACTTTCAATGAGGTTCAGAAACTTTTGAGTAAGACCAACGGGAAGTTGGTCGGTGAATTAATGACCACTGCACCTATGGTTGTTCAGGAGACCTCCAATCTTGAAGATGCAGCCAGGTTCTTCTATATATTCTTTTTTATCTTCCCTTGAGTTGAACAAGTCATTGAACCTTTCTCTTTTCAACTTTGTGTTTTGAGCTACCACCTAACAAGATGAAATCTTTTGAATATTTGTCTTTAGGTTATTGCTGGAAACAAAATTTCGCCGACTACCAGTTGTAGATGCTGAGGGGAAGCTGGTACGAGACTTTTCCACTCTGTTATATTTTGTTACTTTTCCGTCTTCAATGTTTCTTCAGGTTTTTGAAGCCTGATTTGTGGATGATTTGAAGGTTGGGATTATCACAAGAGGAAATGTTGTAAGAGCCGCACTTCAAATTAAACGAGGAAGCTAAAGGAAAGAATGATAGGACTTAAGAGGACCATTTAAAATGATTATTTCTTGCAGAGTACAATGCCTATAGTTACAACCAATAAAAAATTCAAGATAATATTGAAACTAGGATTGAATAATGCACCAAATTATTTCCTAAAATTAAGAGAACAGGCCAATTTATTCTCCGAAATTATTTAACTTTGGTCATTTCAGTTCATAATTTTGTAATTTTAAGGACTAAAAGTTATCATCATTTAGCAATGTCAAGAACTAAAAATGATCGAAACTTGATGATTTTAGGGACTAAATTATATATATATATATTATTTTAGATACTAAATTTGATTAGTGCTAATTTCAAGAACTAATTTGGTGTATTATTACCTGTAGTACAAACTTTATTATTATTTTCATTGCATCTTGAACTTTTATTGGTTGTGATGATAAACTTTGTTTTCATAAACGAATTGTTCTTCAAAGATTTTTTATTAGATTTCATTCAGGGATTATTTAGTTTAAAGAGATTAAAATTATAATTGTCTTATGCATATGTATTGTTATAAGGGAAGTGTTATGGAGCGTCCCACCGCCTCATGGAAGTTCCGAATTTGTAAATTAATCGCTTTTTTATTTATAACAAGTATTTGTTATTATAAAAAGGAATTAAGGCCAAAGAGGCGGATGTGATAAATGGAAAAGAATGGGCGAGATCTTAAATTTGTTGTGGTTGTAAATGATAACTCCTGTCCGTGAGAAATGATAATTCTCTCTTGGATACTTGAAATGTGCAAATTCTGGACATACTGATGGCCCTTTTGGTTTAATGATGCTGTAAATTATGTGAATTTGTATGTTGACCCTTCTGTAGAAGCGGAAAATTTTAAGTAACACAATTTTTACACCATAAAATGTTTCATTATTTTGTGTTTTTTTAATTCTGAAAGACATCAAACACTACGTTGTACAACAGTTGCATGTCATATAGATAGATGTGTTGATGTCGAAGCTTATTCAGATCTCAATATCTACAGCTAGTAATCTGGGTCTACCAATATGTTTTCAGTTTCACATCATTTTTATACCACCTGTATAGTTGCTGTCGCAATATTTGATTTTTTTCGCAACTGCATCGCAATCATAATTATGGCTACATCTGTCTGTAATCTTTTCCAATATTGAAGATTTTAAGTTACCTTAAACTATAATCATAATATAAAAACTTGTTTGTAATGAAATTCACAAATGGACATAATTAGTGTGCTATTCTTTAGGTGCTTTTCATTTAACAAAATTTGAATTTTACTTTAATAAAATATTTATATTTAAATTTTAATATTATCATAGATTATCAGGATAAAACTTGAATTTTGACCGATAAAATTATTAATTGCATCTAAGAAACCACCCCCAAGTTTTATTCCTCATGCCTTGTTGATATGAACAGTTGGCAAATCAGCACGTGCTTCTATATTTCCTTTCTTTCGAATATGAGATAACGATAAAAGACATAGTCAACCGGGGACATTTCGTCGCGAAGGTTGTGGAATCAAAGTTGTTTTAGGTTGTAGATGAATTAATTGGAAAAAGATTTGAGACTGATGTAAAAAGGATTAGTTAAAAAACTGATTCTAAAACTGACTAGGACATTATAAAATATAATTAATGTTCAAACATATTATAAGGATATTTTTACGAGGTTTTTTAGTTGTAAATGAAATTACTTATAGAAGGTACTTGAGGTTCACATAGCCTAACGTCTAACGATGATCAGCAATTGTAACTTTTCTTTTTCAGTATCCACGTTATTCGGTGCACTCTCCGTTATTTGGTATCCACTTTATTTGGTATACTCTTACTATAAAAAAACAAAACTCTTGAAACGAGCGAACCTAATTAAGAATGTCTTCATCCCTCCTTAAATTTGTGATTTGTCTTTTACTTCTATACAGGTCCCGTCTCTGCATACGTCTTCAATTTTCTTACTCTCTATATTGGCTTACACAGTCACTGATGATTCTATATATCTTTCAGCAAGTAACGTAATTCTCATTTAAAATACAAGAAAAGAAATGAAAATGAAGAGGAGAAAAAAAAAAGATAGGTTAAGATATATTTTTTTGGTTTCTATATTTGCATTCAGTGGCTTGTTATAAGTTTTTAATGAGTCATGTTAAAAAAAAAAAATCACTCATGACCTTTTTCTTCTTTTACTTACCTAACTCACCAATCCAGTTCTAGATAGAGTGAACTAATTCGTGGATTCTTAATTTAAATTATTATTATCATAAACATTTGGTGGTTTCGATATTAGTTTATAGCTCAGTAGATATTAGCTATTAAATGATAATGAATAAATTTTGATGATATTTTAAAATTTTCTGAATATATATATATATATATATATATATATATAGTTTTTTCTTTTAATTTGATGAGTCAACTTGAAAGTCAAGTTGATGGATTGAGTTTGATTAACATTTTTTTAGCTCATCTCAAAAGGGTGCTAAGTTGAATTTAACTGTTATTATCTTAATTCGCTGTGAATTGCTTGAAATAGGTTAGCCTCTTTTAACAACTCTACTTCCAATATATTTTAACGCTTTTTTATATAAAAAATATCAGTTCATAATAATATACATAATAAATGGCTAAAAGTATTACCTACAAACAAGACCAAGTAACCACGCCTTTAAAATTTAAATGACTTTCTGCATTAAAAAATTGAGGATCACAACTGTAATAGTAAACAACATCAAACTTAGAATATCCATGCATACTTAATCATGGGTCATGACTAGTCATACACACACATTATCATACACGTGCATACATAAAATCTATTGAAGTTAATGACCCACATAATTCATGATAACCCCAATTGTTAACAAATATACAATGTTTTCAAACTCTTTTTAAGAAAAAGGTAATTTTACAATAATACCCTTGACATAGGCATAAACAAAGTTCTCATGCACATAAAATATACATATTTGGTTTAGTTACTTACATAGGCTCAGGCGAACACTTTATTCCTCTACTCTTTTTCTTTGCTTCTTAACATCTGTGACTGCTTGCTTTTCTTTTAACTCCTTCATCACCGTTTCTACCCTCCCATTTCAGGAACTTGTTTCAAATACTACCACTTCCTCCACAGAGTCACCCACAACATCTTGCTCTTGGAATAGGAGACATGCAACAAGGAAAAGCTAAGGGACCAAGGGAGTCATTTAGACTATAAGGTAAATTAGTAAAATCATTTTTTTAATGTTAGCTTAAGTGAGTGGTTCACGTGGATGTTTATGTAAACATTATATAGGCAACATTCATCACGTCAACAAAAAAAGTGACGCTATTATACACAAAAATAATGGAGCGACTAACATGTTAACAAGGAATAGCAATTGCGAATCAAAATTTTAAAATATAAAAGCTAAAATTGAAATCAAAGAAAAGTACAAAGACTAAAAAGTAAAAATAGTTTTTAATATAGTAAGATAAGTTATGTGATATGAAAAGACAGAAAAACTTGTAAAAAAGTATATGCATTTTTTTAATAAAAATAACATTACTTTTTTCCCTTTCTTTTTTTAAGTTTTAAGGTGGTGTTTAACTTTTCGCGAATCGATGGCACACTCTCGTCTAGCATTATGCAATTCCGCCAATCATGGACTATTTCTTGTCTACACCTTTAAAAGATTAATAGATCCTAGCAAACAAAATATGGAACACAGCTCATATTCAAACCAATAACCTCAGCTTCAACTTACCAGATCAAAATAATTTTACAACTTAATATTCTTGAACCAAACTCTTAAAACTACTATTTAGTTTAACCTACCTACCATCTTTTCTTAAAGTTTTTGTACACCAGATCCCGAAATAAATAAAATAGAAAATAACTATTTAAATGTAAATTCAAGCATCTAAAGACATATTTTTCCTACACTTTTTTTGTATTTTGCAAGTTGTATTTGTTGGATACAATTGTTGTCCAAGATTTGACTTCAATTGGACAAAAATCTGAGACGACAGAACCGATTAACCGACCCCATCCATCACCTATCCTTATCATCGAAACAGAGCAGTGACCACAGCATTTTCCCTCCCCAATGGTCCCTTCCCTTCACAACACAACACAACACAACTCATAAACCAGAAAAATACCTAACTCCAATTCATATAACTTTTTAGGAGTCATATATAAAATATATAAATACTTGAGTGGTTAACATGCCTCTCTCTCTCTCTTTTCTACCCAACTGCTAGGCACCTTACCCCATTCCACTTCACCGCTACACCCTTTCTTTTTCCAAATTATATAAAATATATATTTTTTCTTTTTCAAAATTCCCATTTTCACCGAAATTCTATCTCAAAAAAGTTGACAATTAAAATTAGAGTTTTTTCCTACCTAATAGTCATAAAAATCTAAATTTTGCAATATCAATTTCACACTAATTTTTTTTAATTGTTTTCTCTTAAAAGACATGTGAATAAGTTCAAAGAATACGTGTGTTTGTTTATACATGTGATCTCAACTCTTATTCAATTTGGGACTTTGAGTGATGAAGCAGAATTAATAAATAATATTTTTTTAAAAAAATACGAAAACAAATATAATTTTACATTATGTATAAGAAATTATATTTTTACATTTTTTAATAAAATACTTTTTAGATTCTGCAATTAATCTTCTAAAATTAAACAATTAAAAGCAACAGAGAAGAGAAGGCTGAAGTAATTTACATTTAAAAATTTCACAATGTCAAAATTTCTCTGTGAAATTAAATTAAAAAAGAAAAAAAAAGTGACAGAAAATAATAATAACACGAAAGGGCCTCATGTCATGATTAACAAACATGAAAAATCATCCCCCCTTGCACCATTTAACCTCCACGGCGCACGTTAGCAGCCACCCTTAATCCGAATTAGCAGGTTCAGGTAGCTTATTAAGGTCGACCCGTTCGGCAAAATCTACGGCGGCATCGTGGTGGTGCTGGCGGTGGAGGGCGTCGACTCTGGCACCGACCTCGGTGGCTTTCTTCCTGATGGAAGCAGCAGACATGTCGGAAGCAGCGGCTTCTCCGGCGAGAAGTTCGGGGAAGTTAAGGCGAGCGGAGGGTCCCCGGAGATAGAAAACGGCGGTGTCGTAAGCACGCGCAGCGGCAACAGGAGTGGAATAAGAACCGAGCCATATACGAGAACGCTTGTTGGGTTCTCGAATCTCAGCGACCCACTTGCCCCACTTTCTCATCCTTATTCCTTTGTACCTTGTTTCTTCACCCTCTTTTCCTCTCTTCCTTGTGCTTCCTCCTTCTCCTTCCATCTCTGCAAATACCCAAATAATTCAAACTTTTTCTCTCTCTATGTGTGTGAAGTTTTTAGTTTTGGAATCGAAATCGAAGAGCGAGGCAGTGAATATTCGTAAAATTATAAAATAAAATAATCAAGTGTTTAAGAAAGAGAGGGTATTGGGGTATTTGCAGATCAGAGAGTCAGAGACAGGGAGTGAGGTTGTCGTCTGCTTAAACCATCCACGTCTAATGCTGTTCTGTTTTATACTATTTCTTAAAAATTTAATTGCTTCCATCAACCTATTTTCCAATTCATAGTTCAAACATAAAATGAATTCACCGACAAGATAACATAAATACTTCCCTCTTATTTATTTATTATAAGATTAGTAATTTTCTTTTTAGATCTAGCTTTTTATTTTATTTTATTTTTCTTTAATTGTTTATCATTCATAAACGTTTTAGTCTTTCAAAATTAAATTCTCATACCTTACCATATGTGTAATTCAGGATCCTCATATTTAAATTATTTACATTTAATTTTATAACTTATTAATTATTTATTTAAATTTATATTTTTAATCATTAATAAAAATACCATCAATTTATATAAATTTATCAATAAAATATATAGGATATTTAAATATAAATATAAAAAACATTTTATATTATATATTGTATGTTTTTATTTAAATAAATGATGTGTCAAGCTTTTATTATTTTTTCATAATTATTAAATAAATGTTTTAGATAAAATACTTACTTTAAATAATTAAAAAATTATGAAAATCCAACTTAAATTATTAAAATTAAAAAGGTGAGGCACATAATTTGAGTAAACGAGAGTGTTAATGGTAATTAAATCTTTTACATGAAAATAGCGATGTAATATTGTTTATTTACTTTTAAAATAAAGATATTAACAGCTCATACCTTTAAAATAATTTACCAAATTAAAATTATAACTTATTATTATAGTACATGTAAAAATATATAGATAAATCCCTTTATAATATATATATATATATATATATATGATATTTTTATGAGTTAATGAATATTTACAATTTACATTCAAATTTAAAATTTAATTAAAATATATTGTCAGTATAAAAAAAATTAAATCATAATTTATCATACAAAAATTATAATAATTAATTTAAATATTATATTTATTGTGAAATATTTTAATTGATTAATAATAATATAAAAATATTTATATTAATATTGTATTAAAAAAAAAGTCTTCAATTGATACTTTAAAAATATAAAGATATTAAGTTAGAGACTTAAAAATATTAGACACTAATTTAGTCTCTTAATGTTTAAATGAATGTTGATTTAGTCTTTTAATATTTATCTAGACACCATTTAATCTTTAATTTGAATAATTAGGTAGAAAACAATAAGGTAACTCGTATATAAGGAAAAAATATTTTTTTCAAAATGAAAACAGTCAATTTAATGGTATAAGCAACTAAAATTTGAGAAAGAAAATGAATTTTCGATATAAAAGATTAAAATTAATTAACTTAAAAGAAGGGTGTTGAAGATTAAATGTCTCATGTAATGACTTTTTCAGATAGTCATGAAAGTTGCTGATTAATCATATTTGATTTAGATTTATATTATCAATGAAATATTACAAGAACAAATTTACTTTTGAATAATGACTGACTGACTTCATTTGTGCTTTTTATACTAAAAATGCTTATTGAAGATTTTTGTGTATTTATTTGTTATCTAAGTGCTTGTTGTAATATTTTTATGATTTTATTTAAATATTTCGAAAATAAATAATTCAAAATAATGTGTTATGATTGGATATCAAATTAAGGAAAATATTAAAATAAATTATTAGAGCTCTTAAGTTAAAATTGCTGAGGTTTTTAATTTACAATTGTCATAAACATAAGTTCAATTTTTTCGTCAAATTTAATTACCGCAAATACATAAGTTGCTTTATTGTTATTTCTTTTTATTGACGAATTTAATTCTCACAAAATCTATTTTTTATCGTTTAAATATTTTTAGCAACTTATAACATTAATCGCATAAAATTGATATTAAATATTTTTTGACAATTTATCTGTGAGGAATTCAAGATTGGCTAGTAAATCCACAAGTGAAAGTTAAAATCCTCATAATGTACTTCGTGACACTAAATGCTTTTTATATCGAAGTGAGTATATGAGTTGTTGAATCCGAATTGAAATTCTGAAAAAAGTAAATTTTGTTTAGCTAATATTTTATGTATTATATGGGTATATTTTAATTTAAGTAAAATAAAAGTATAATTGTAAGATGAATTTACATAATTAATTTGAATAAATAAGTAGAAAACAATAAGGTAACTCAGATATAAGGTAAAAAAAATTTAATGAAAACAATCAATTTAATCATATAAATTTGAGAAAGAAAAGTAATTTTTGATATAAAAGATTAAAACTAATTAACTTAAAAGAATTTACATTTAAAAAAAACTAATATAAAAATTGAAAATAATAGTTTGAGAATTTGAAAAACTAAATATAAATATTAAATAATGATAAAATTTTGTACATAGAAATTATCTTCACATTAAAAAAGAATTACGTTTGACTTTAAATTTATAATATAAGGATATATTTTATCATTTGATGAAGACATTATTATTATTATTATTATGATACACTATTGTGTAGCAATAAAGACGATAAATCGAATACTATTAATATATGCGAACATGTTAGTTGGTGTCGTTTTGCGAGTTAGTGATAAGGAATTCAAAGGCTATAAGCCTACTAATTAATTTCTTGTTTGTTCTTCGTTATTTCTTAGTTCCTCATAATAATAATTTCGTAGTTTTCCAACTTCATTTATTTCCTCTCAGTGAAAAGAGCAAAAGGAGTAGGTTGGAGATCGGTGGATAGAAACCGTTGTGAATTGGCACATGCAATAAATTTGAATTTGAAGTTCAATTATGTTCACTAATTTTATTTTATTTTTATGTTATCAAGCGCTAATATTTCATAATTTAAAGAGTAAAATACATTATCTTTTCTTTAAAAATATTTAAATTATATTATTCATTTTATTTTAAAAATATATTCTCTTTTTCTAAGAAAATTAATATATGTTATATTTTAATCTACTTTAATATTAACAGGTGAGTTAGCATCAGTGAATAATTATATTAAAATTTCTTTTGTTTTAACTTTTAAGGTTGTTTACAACTTTTTTAAAATTTAAATACATGTATTTTTATAGAAGATGAGTTGAATAAAAATATATATAATAAAATTTTCTCTAAATATTTAATTTTTTTTAAATTTAAAATCAAGTTCACGTCAATTAATTCACACATTTACTTCAATTAATTCACGCACCTTACACTTAATTTTCAATATCATATTATCAATTTTTAAATATTATTAATTAAAATAAAATTGTTAACCCTAAAAGAGTCAAACTATTTACTTTCAAAAATTACTCAGAAATTTCATTTCATCATTTTAAATCTAAACAAATCGTCGTAAAAAATTGAAAATTATTTGTTGGTAATGGTCAAAGTTATAAAAGAAATAATTTTCAGAAATTTATTTACATTATATTACATATTATTCGCTCAACAAAGGATAGTATAATTTTAAAAACAAAGGAGAGTGTAATTTTTTTATTAGTATAATTGAAAACATTAAATTTGTATTATGTAAAAAATATAATGAATATTTTTTTCATATAAAAAGTTTAAACTCTTAATTGTTTTAGTCAACTCAAACATTAATATTAACAAAAATAAATTGTTTATGTACACTAACTATATTGTTAGCCTCCATTAATAATCCATTTTGGGTAATAGAGATAATCAAAATAGACTTTTCTTCATCCAAGAAAGCCTTCTTCATTCACGTGACGAGGAATAGAACCCCGCATGGTATGCATAAAAGGAACACTATTTGTTAAGCGTGAGTTCGTGACTGGCTTTTTTTTATTATTATTATTATTATTATTATTATCCATTAAATATGAATAATGATATTGCTAACAATTTTTTAAATACATTGATCAAGAAGTAATTTACCCAATACTTTTAAGTGGTTAAAAGATAATAATTTTTTATCTAATACATAATTTTCTATAACTTCTTACTTTTGTATTTGAGATATTAGTTAGCGTTTTTTTTAATTGTATATTATATTTTTATTAATTTTTTATTTATTAAATTTAAAAAATATTTAATATTTTTATATTTTAAATTTATTAAATATAATTATTTTTATTTAATATAATATTTTCATTAAGTGATAAGAAAATTAATAAGAATATATCATAAAAGGATAATAAAATTTAAAAATAAAAGTATTTACTTTTTTTATCATAAAATTAACATAAAATTATAATGAATAAATAAAAGAATAAAGATAACAAATTAGTGAGTAAGAGAGAATCTCACATTTATTTCACACATTTTTCATACAATAAGTTTAAATTTACTACTCAAGAGTCACGTATCTTTAAAAAGTGAATTAAATAAATATTTAAAATCTTTTAAACTTTAAAGAATTAGGAAAGATAGAAAGATAAACATCCACTCATAATAATTTCTAACATTGTCCCTTGGATGTCTATTATTTATAATATGCTTCATAAAAATCTTACTTAGAAAAACCCATGAGAGAAAAATCTAGTAAAAAAAAATGTACATTATCTTTTAATACGCTGTTAGATATTGTTTCATTAAAAAATTTGTCAAAAAAATCTAATAAAAAAGAAAATCATAACTAAGAAAAAAAAAGAGTTTTTATTTCATGTGAACAATCATTTCTAATATGACAGATTTTAATTTTGTGAACTATTTGTTCAAAAATTTTACTTAAGAGTTATTTTGTGAAAATATATCTTAGATTATTAGGTGAACAGAATTGTTAAACATTTACACTGTTATTCTTTTAAAGATAATAGGTAAATTTTTTTTAAAAGAAATATGACTTATTCTATTTCTTTTAATGTATTATTCTTTTAATTAAGTAATACACACAACATTATCTTC